TAACTTTGTGTTAAAATTTGAAACTAAGATCTTGCATTACAGTTTTATACTCAATATCAAAGCTTATACGATACAAAATAAACTTTTATACACTAGAAACCAGATAGATAGCATCTTGCTATTAAGCCAAGCTTGGAATAAAAAGCATCACTTGATTCCTAGCTATATTCATGCTCTGATTCATGATTGTTTTATTTTGCCTCATTGATTCTAACATTATTCACTTAATATTAAAATTTTTAACATAAAATCCACCTAAAATTGAGGGAGAGAATGAACTATAAATTTATGTGATTTATTTGTATATAGTGTTTTAGACACTTTAAACTTGAGACTGTCTTTGTTTATGTGTCTATTAATCTGTTGTTAACTCACTAATGTGTATCTTTATTGCTTAACACTTTCTCTTAAATCCAACGAGTTTAAGCTTTGTTAAGAGTTTCATTTTAATCTCTGTTTTGTAACTTCAAGTTATGAATCTTTATCTTAAATAATGTTTTTATTGTTTGAGTTTGTGCTTTTTTCTAAAAAAAAAAAATTATAGGTCTTTTTTGTTTGCTTGACTCTTTTCTAATTTTTTTATTTTTGGCCTTTTAATATTTTTGAATTTAAAATCTATGTAGCTTAAAATCTGAGGAAGAGTATTTGTAAAAAAACGTTAGACAATTTATATTTAAGGTTCTCTTATCTATATATTACTTGATTTATTGTTAATCTAATAATACGTATCTTTTATTTGCTAACACTTATTCACGTCAGAAGATCCACGAATTCAGTTGCAAATCATTTAGCTAGGATTTCCTTTTCGGTTGGGGATTATTCTTGAATTAATAGAGGAACAGCCAGCCCCTTTTGATGGTTTTCTTATTGAGGATGATTCTTGTCAGTTCGTTGTTCTCTCATTTCAATTGAATGAATGTCTGTTTTCTCCAAATAAAAGAAACTTTTGTTCACGAAACATTATCATAGAAAATTTTTGAAGGCTTAAAGTATATTTCTATTTATTTTTAGATAAAAAATAAACCCGCTAAGAAATTCAATTATTTTGTTAAAATTAATTGCTAAATTTGCTAAAATATATAATATTATACTAATTTTAGTTTTAAAATTTTTCTTTTTACTGAAGTTATAATAACATAAATATATAGATCATAATATTTTATGAATTATATTTGTATTTAGAATAGAAATTTATATTTCCACAAAAAAATTAATTGAACAAGTTATTATTTTAATTATTGAGAATAAGTGTTATTTATTTTTATCTTTGACTTTAATAATTTTATTTAAATCCTAATATTATCAAATATTATAATTTCTTTTTTACTTTAGTCTTCAATGTAAACAAAATATATAAAAAAAATTAAAATAAAATTTATATAAATTTAAAATTAATGTAAAAAATACTTGCAATTCTAGATAACGATTTGGGATTTACTCATTTTATATAGGTGAAATTCTGTGTTCCATGTATAGCTGCTTTAAACTGAAGAAAAAGAAATAATCATTTTGAGTAAAATGAGATTAAAGCACAGAGGTGGGTTCAATAATTATAAAACAAAACACAAATGTTTAGGAGTTCCAAGCAAAAGATGCATCTGATTAAGCTTTAGACGCAAAGGATCGTTGAATTAGAATGTCAAACAGGGCGATGAACAAGTAAAGCCGGCAAATAGTAATTCAACAGGGAAACCTGCCACTTGACTCGCATTTATTTCCACAAAAGAATAAAGTTAAAGTACTTTCTTTCTTTGTACGGACAGTCAGATAAGTTGATATGATGTGATTGAATGGATGATGAGCATGCAAATCTTGCACATGATGATGATCAAACCAATTCCCAACAATTTTTACTGCTCAACTTTATTAAAAATGAGTTTGTCAAAAGCACCTTGATTCGAATATATTATGAGCACTGTTTAACCAAACTTAAATATGAAAAACGATAGAGCTGATAAATGTTGGTGAAATGTGTGAGAATATATAGTTCCATTGTATATGTGAATTAAAACCATTAATTTTCTTTCTCTTGGGATAGTTTTTCATTCCCTCAAATTCATATATCTTATATCATTTTATGTAAACCCATGGAGGAAGGGGAAAGAGCTCATGCATGGTTGCTTTCCATGAAAACATGTTTGAAAAGACAAACTCAGTTTAATCTCTCTACACTTTAAAAAGATGCTTTAACAATCGGATGAAATATATTTTTGATATAAACAAAAACAACTCCATTGAAGACATTGAATTCAATTGTATTTTTTATTATAAAAAATTTTAAACTTTTCGAATTGCTATTTCTTTTACAACTGTTGTACATGAATGGCTAAATTTTTTTCATGCATTGAAAGATAAAGCGCGGCTAAGCTCCCTAGGCTAAGAAAGCAGTTAATGATGGACCTTTACCAAAACTTCTTTACAGGGGTATAAATAAAGATGGGTGGGGCTATTGCCTGTGTAGGGGTCCATTTATTTCTCGAAAGAACAAGGTAACTTGGAGCTTTAATGCCTCCTACTTCACTCTTCAATAGCTTATAATTGCCTTTAGGTGCGTCTCTTTCAGAAAGAGGGAGAAAAATAGTGCTAAACAAAGCACCTGTATGTTTATTAAATGAACGATCAACTTTTATCAAAGTAAAAAATTGTCAATGCAGTTTAAAGTAATTTTTTTTATACAGTTTCAATTTTTTGTGTATAACAAATTATTAAATGATGAAAAATTATTTTAAAATATAGAATGCCTAATTAAATGGGCTAAATAATTTAATTCTTGTAATTTGTATATTAAGACAAACATCCATTATTTTAGACCTTATCATTAGTTAATGTTAAAAGTGAGTAATAGATTGTTGACACCTTTAAGTAACAACTGAATTTTACATAAATTTAAAAATAATGATCTTTGTTTGTTTGCTATATACTTTTTCTTCGTCTGATCCCCTAAATTTTTAAAACGCTTCAACTACTCTTCTCTCTTTCTTTTTTTTTCTTAATAATACTATTTTTAAAAATTATTGTTATCAAAAAGTAGTTTATCATCACACGAGTCACCGGATTCAAATTTATTCTAGTTGTGATAAATTTCATTTTTATTTAAATAAAAATAAATTCACTTAAATAAAAATATACAAAATTAGCTTAAACAATTTTGATACATGTCTTAACTCTGTGAATTAGCCATCTACGTATATCACCCATCATTTACTTATCTACTCCATTGTTTCACAATTGCAAATCAATCAAGTCTCATTTTGTTAGAACCTAAACCTTCCGTCGTTCACTCAATTGCACCTTCAAAAACTTTTCTTGACCATCGCCCATCTTGCAAAGTAAATAGAATCATTTTCCTCCTTACCCATTGCATTACCGTCATTGTGCATCATCCTAGGTTTATTAAATATATATCTATAATAATTTCTAAAGCAAATTGTCATTGCCAATCATTGAGTTCATCTCTTCACTGCTAATTCAATTTTGGTTATTCTAATTAAAATTTCTGTATCGCATTGTGTGTTGAGTGTGCATGTAAAATTATTCCTATGTAGGCACACTTATTTTAATGCACATGCATTCTTTTTTTACCTTTTCGAGTTCGATCGAATTGAACCTTTTTCATCACTAATGACAGACCCCTATTTGGTTGTGTGAAAATCGATTAGATCTTGTTTGAAAAGAAGAGAAAGAAAAAGAAAACCAATAAGAATGTATTTTATTCTCACCAAGAGGTAATTAGAGATGCTGGAGAGAATAAATGATAAAAGCCGGTGGTTCTGAATAATTGGAGGTAAGGGTAGTGTTTTAAAAGAATAAAAAAAAGAAGGATAAGTAGATGAAGTATTTTAAAAATTTTGAGACAAATTGCAAAATGAAAAAAATAAATATATTAAATAAAATAATATTTACGCAGTGTTTCAGTTTTTACTCAACGTAGTACATCAATAATCTTTTACTCACTTTTAACGTTAACTAATGATAAGGATAATTTTTTATACTTTAAAGAATGAAACATATTATTATTAAATTTTATTTTATATTTTATATTCAAATTTTTATAATTAATTATGCAAATGTTTTTTAATTTTAAATTATTTTTCTTATAGTAATCTGCTATTAGTATTATAAATTTGCAGAAAAAAGAACATTTCTATTTATATATGATAATTACTGCTATTATTAAAATCATATATTAATTGGGGGAAGTTCTCAGTTCGATATCCTTTTTCTTCTATTTTCTCAGTGAATTTTAGAGAAAATTTTTTGTAGAGGTCAATCGATGATACATAGGAAGAAAAGCACCCACAAAATAGATATTAAAGTATTAGTAGAATAAGCTAAATAAATAAGGAAACAAAATACTATTGTATGTAGTAATTGTAAAAATGTGGAGGTTTTTTAATTTTTTGTTACATTTTTTATAAGCCATATGTAAAAAAGAGTTTGAGTTGACATATTGATATTACAAGTTACCATGCCTCAATTTGATTTAGGATCTCACCTCTGTTCAAAACGGAAATAAATTTCAATATCGCCTGATGCAAGTCTTATTCGATAAAGGAAAGCATTATTAGTCTTGGACATGAAAGGGTGCATGCAGAGAGATAGAATAATAATTGATAAATATAATAAATAATAAGATAAAATAAAAAGTGTTAAATGAGTGTTGATATTTTTAAAATCAAATTAAAATTTTATTTAATATGGGGTGTGTCTCTGTATCATGATTAATTTGAGTCGATTAATTATAAAATGGAACACAAATATTTGGGTAGATGGTTAACCATGTCTACTCCTTTGATGTCTTTAAGCAAGAAAAAAAAGGGGAGCTAAGTTAGGGTGACTTCACGCAGAAGCTTCGTCAAATCGACAGAACTTTTTTGGTCTCTGTGGCTGATGTCGAGCATGGGGATACATGAGGCACCATTGATATGTTATCCACATCCATACATGGCATGTGAATAGAGATATTAAATGTAACGCAAGGGGGTCCTCTTGACATGCACACTAACACATACACGCAAAGATAAAAAGGCCACGATCATAGCAACCAAAAGCCTCCTCTCACTCTCTCGATTCACTTTTCCCAAGGAAAGTAGCGATCGAACAAGAAGAAGAACAAAAACAACTCTATTGGGAAAGCCACAAAGGCATAACAGCTTTTCCTTGGCTTAGCGATGAGAGTTCCCTCCTCATCCCCACAGACCAATAATCATTCCTCCAACTCAAAACTCACTCAAAATCCAAATCCAAATCATAACCCAAACCCAAACCTTGTCCTTCACACCCCACCCAGCAATAACCAAACTTTCAGCTACGAACCCACCTCTGTTCTCGACCTCTGCCGCAGTCCCAGCCCCGAAAAGAAACCCACAGTCCCAAAGGCAGAAGCAGATCCCAATCTAGAGCTGGACGATCATGTGTTGCCTAATTTGGATTGGTGGGATTCAATCATGAAGGACTTGGCCTTACCCGAAGACTCAGCCAATCCCCTATTGAAGCCTACCAACATTAATTCTGATAACCTAAATTCCAATTCATGCATCCCTGATTTCCCACCCTTTGATCACCCTCAAGACTTCTTGGAAATTTACTCCAATCAAAACCTGCCCTTTAATTACAATACTAGTAACGCTTTGGACCATTCGGTTCACGATTTCAGTCACCACCATCACCACAACAACACCAACACCAACACCAATTGGGATTTCATCGAAGAGCTTATCCGTGCAGCTGATTGCTTCGACAACAACCACCTCCAACTAGCTCAAGCCATATTGGAGCGTCTCAACCAACGGCTTCGTGCCCCGATTGGAAAACCACTCCACCGAGCCGCGTTTCACTTCAAAGACGCTCTGCAGTCTCTTCTCTCCGGTTCCAACCGAACCGGATCCAACCGGCTTTCTTCAATGGCGGAGATCGTGCAAACGATTAAAACGTTCAAGGCCTTTTCGGGAATTTCACCGATCCCAATGTTCTCTATCTTCACCACCAATCAAGCGCTTCTCGAAACCCTACACGGCTCTTCCTTCATCCACATCATCGATTTCGAAATCGGCCTCGGAATCCAATACGCTTCTCTCATGAAAGAGATGGCCGAGAAGGTCGCCGGAAACTTGCCGCTCCTCCGCATCACCGCTGTTGTTCCGGAAGAGTACGCCGTCGAGAGCCGCCTCATCCGCGAGAACCTCAACCAGTTCGCTCACGACCTCGGAATCCGCGTCCAGGTTGACTTCGTGCCGCTTCGTACCTTTGAGGCGGTGTCGTTCAAGGCCGTCAGGTTCGCCGACGGCGAGAAGATAGCCGTGCTGTTGTCGCCGGCCATTTTCTGCCGTCTCGGCTCCGGAGGAAGCAGCGTCGCCGCGTTTCTCGCAGACGTGAGGAGGATGTCTCCCGGCGTGGTAGTGTTCGTCGATGGCGAGGGGTGGACAGAGGCGGCGGCTGCGGCGTCGTTTCGGCGGGGCGTGGTGAACAGCTTGGAGTTCTATTCGATGATGTTGGAGTCGCTGGATGCGTCGGTTGTGGCAGGAGGAGGGGGCGATTGGGTGAGGAGGATCGAGATGCTTCTGCTGCGGCCAAAGATGTTGGTGGCGGTGGAGAGCGCTGGAAGAAGAACGCCGCCGTGGAGGGAGGCGTTTTACGGCGCCGGAATGAGGCCGGTGCAGTTGAGCCAGTTCGCCGATTTTCAGGCCGAGTGTTTGCTGGCGAAAGTGCAAATACGAGGCTTCCACGTGGAAAAACGACAAGCTGAGTTGGTGCTCTTCTGGCACGGAAGGGCCATGGTTGCCACGTCAGCTTGGCGGTGTTAGAAATATAGATAGAACTTCAAAGACACCAACCTGCTTACACATTAATTTTACTTGTATTAGATGTTTCCTTTCCTTTATAACCAAAACATGGTAGGAAACGAACGACACTCCTTTTCTACTTGGCAAGGCACTAATAACTTGTTGCGAGTATCAATCAAGACTTAACTCAGAGGATTACTACACACTTTTCTGGTGGAGGTTAATCAAAATTTCAACCGATTTCAGGAGATTTGACTCTGCACATATGGGAGAGGCAAGTGTTTTACTATTTGTGTCAACTTGTGTTGGCAATGTGAACCTTTATTTCTGCGTTTACAGTTGCAAGAATCTAGTTTAACTTTAGTTTAGTTTACTATGGAAAATTATAGATGTTTCCGAAAACCACAAGAAAAGATACTGGGAAGTACATACACTGGTATTTTTTTTCCAGACCTTTTTGTTTTATGCAATGTAGATAAATTGTGGGGGTGTCTCTATTTGATTTGTTTGAGAAGAGTTATCAATGTAATGGAGCATATAGTTTCAGTCTTGTTATCTTAATGAATCTCTTGCTTTTCAATCGAAGTATTTGGGAAACAAATAGCGCTCTTATGCCTTATGGTATGGAATATTTTGCTGCCAAAGTCAGAGATAAATATCACATGTGATAGGCATATTCAGTGTAGAGAAACAGTTTTTAATCCACTTAGTTATAGTTTTTTCTCTACTTCCTAGTTTTCTCGTTTTGTCATTAACGGTATGCAAATATGTTCGCCACGGTTGTTCGACGTGACATGATCACATGAAGATGCATGTTTCGGGATAAGAACATTCCTTGGCACATCTACTGTTAAGCATCTACGGGATGCGAAAGGAAGAAAAACAAACACCCCCAACGATCTTTGATAGTATCCTGATAGTTTTGTGTTTTCTGATAATGTGAACAGCATCACTTCCAGAATTAACCTTTCTGTGAGAGATAGTAAATTAGACAAGCCTATTCTTATTCCGGTGCCTTGATATACCAAAATTTGAATTCAACTTTTCGATTCATGTAGGTTTTCAAAATCCCAGATTTAAGTTCGGATTTTGCAGAAGAAAACATTTCAACACGTGCGAACTGCAAGAAGCCAGTAGCAAAAAAAAGAGAAAATTGATATCACGTGTTGTTCAGAAGAATTTTTTAAGAAAAATAATCGTTTTTTTATTTTACAAATTGTCAAAACTAATTTATAATTTACTCAAATTAAATTAAACTAAACTTGCCCTACGTGCTGGAAGAGCAACTCGACCAAGAACATCCATACATTTGCAAGTATTACTGAGGGACGCCTATTGTTACTTAGAAAGGCACTTACTTTTGTTAGTCAAAGTAAGCGAAAGAGGAAGGCATTAAAGGAGTTTGAAAATAAACGATTTTTCACAATGGTCGTTAATCACTTCTCTAATTCTGGATATACACATGATTAAATATGTGTCTTCCGACATTTTTATTTCACGTATCTTTATATTTAATGAAAATCAATCTTTTATTCTTCATATTTTGTCAATGATTGGATGACTAATTATCATTTGATGTAATTTATTCTTTGTAGTTTTACATTTCATTATTTTTGCTGCACTCAAGTTTAATTGCTCTAATTTCGAGTTCGAATTCATTTGTCTTTTAAAATAGTAATACATATTAAAAAGTATTAATTATACTAGCTATTATGATAAAATATTTTTAAAAAATGCTCTTATTTAAGGAATTAGAGTGTAGTTAAAAATGAATTAAATATTTAAGTAAAATATTCAATAAATAACCATATTATTGGTAAAATGTTTAGGTTATATATATATATATATATATATATATATATATATATATATATATATTATTTTGAGAATCTTGAGATTATCTTCCTAAATTTATAATCGGGGTGCGTGTGTGAAATTTGTTTTGATTAAATATATTTTTATACTAAAATCAGAGTCTTCATCTGTAAACAATAATTTTTAGGAGTTATTTTTTTATTAATAGTGAATTTGAATAAATAACTTAATTAAGATATTCTTCAAAAAAATAATTATTACATGAGAATTTATGTCTTAAAATTGCTCATACTACTACAATAATTTCTAAAATAATTTTAATAACTTACAACAAGAAGCTTGTTGAAATTATTTAACTTCTCTTGTGATAACCATTTAATTTATTATTATTTTTAATTTTTAAATACTTTTTTTAGAATTAAATTTAAATCTAAAATTTACATATAAGTGCATTATATCAAGTTAAAGTCATTATATTTTAGATAATTAAATTTTAATATTATTATAACTTTTTTTAGGGCAATAGACTTCTTGAGTTTAATTCATGAATTTGAGATTTTCAATTTGCTCATCCAGTATAAGATCTTAGATACTTTGCTTCTTGATTTAATTGTAATTAATTTTGTCAAATGTAGTAGGGAGACGTCTTAAAATTCTTCTAACTTTGCTTTCATCATCTAGTTCCTTACTAAGTGCCTTTAAATCAATATTGACGATAGTTTGAACCTTTGTAAACTTTGTTATATTCATTTTTTTGATAGCACAAGTACGAAGGTACTTGACTTTCATATTTTGTTTTTTTTTTGCTTTATAGTCTAGTTTTCTTATAGAATATGATTACCTTCATTATCTTTGAGTTCATAATTCTCCTTAACAATGATGGTCCAGACCACATATTAAATATATTTCATAGAGTTCAGTTTTGTTTCTCTAGTAAATGTATTTTCTTAGAAGAAGGCTAGAGGTTTTGAGGAGGATGCTCTTTCATGTATTAATAGCTTGTTTTATGTTTGTCATCACCTCACAGGTTGATCTATTACACCAACTTAAAAAGGAGAATAGAGAAAAATATGAGAGAAGGAGTTAAATTAAACTTTTCTTCCTTTTGAAAACTTTTTTTCAATATGTATAAAAACCATTTGATCAATTATCAGTTGAGTTCATCAAAACAAAACTTCTTAGCTTTTCACCCTTAAGAAACATTAGCACATGTAATATTAGGAAATTTTAATTTTTAAAATTGAGCTATAAGTATTTTGAAAACATGACACCGTAATTTTATATTTAACTTAATGTTTAGTAAAAAAAATTGTTAAGAAAAGATAGAATAATTTTTTAGAAATATTACTTATTTTAAAAATCATATACTTATTTTTTAAAAACATTACTTAAATTAAAATCTATTGCAATTTTTAAAAATAAAAAAAATATACAAAAATTATATCATAATTATTGTAATCAAATTTCATACACTTTTGCAAAATTAAGAAATCAGTCTAACGGCCACGTGCTAGGTTCCTGTAAATTGGTTAATCTACAAAATTAAAACATAGACAAATAAATAACATAGGGAGTAAAATTCAAATTCATGTTTAAATGAGATAATTATGAAGCAATTTAGTAAACTATAATAGTTCTAACATATAAAGCACACCATTGAATTACCAGTAAATCATAACAATGAATTCTGTAATTAATTGTGATATAATTGCATATGAAGACCCAAATTTCAAAACACTAATCCATGAATTTTTGGATAATGAATGATATGCACAATTCGTACCTCCCAAAGGTACTCAATTAATATAAACTTGAACATTTCTCATTGACCATAATAATAGTCTACGTAAGTTAGGTTAGTATTATTTTGCGTGCTCAACATCACAACACTCAAATAGCAAACTTAAGTTACTTGAAAGTTCTACACAATAACTACAAGGTCCTAAGAAACTATGCCTATCCATACTTCACGCTTCATTGAGGTATATGTCATTTTGTAACCACTAAAAATAATTTTCACTTATTGCATATATGCATGACACAAATACCATAATAGAATCACAACTACTCATTCATTACAGTTAATAATAATCTCTAAAAGTACAAAAAATTTAATGTTATTTCTTTACGGTAATGCATATCCTATACGTAAAACATTTATAAATATGCTATTTCAAGCCAAAATTTTTCAAAATATAATTTTATATTACAAGGACATTTTTTTTGTAATTAAATAAATATTTAAAGTTGTTTAAGTCATTTTTAAAATAATTAATTTTTTTAGTGTTTTAAATTATGGTTTGACATTCAGCTGCCATAATTTATCTGTCGAAATTTTTTAGACATTTTATACAATATTTATTCAGTAAATAATTTATTTATAATTATTTTAAATGATTTCCAAAATTTTAAAATTCAGTAAAATAATTTTGTATTAATTTATAATTTTCATGGAAAAAATACATATATCATTAAATTATATAATTTTTACTAATTAACATAGGTTCCTATGAGTATACTTTTTCTTAAAAAGTTATTCTATAAAAAATTATAATACTTTTAAGTCTTAGTTTAATGTTTTTATGTAAAACAAGTCAAAATTAGGGATCTACATCTAACAAAATATTTTATAGAGACTAAGTTAATATTGTATAAATTTTGTAAAAACTAAATACTTAAACTTTAAAATATCTTAAACTTCTTTTTGTTTGAGGAAATACTTATTTTATTCTCTCAAATTGTTAGTGTTAAATTAATTTAGTATCAACTTTATAAAAATCTTATATAAAACAATATTCAATTTAGTCAACTTTTTATATTAAAAGACAACAAAAAATGAAGTAGAAAAGTATTACAATGAGTGTTTTTTAAAAACTTAAGGAGTAAACTAAAGTTTGTATAAAGTTAGGGAGTAAAATGATTAATGATTATAATTTGAAAGACGAAAATAAATATTTACTTATTTTTATTTTTCAGCTATTAAAGAATTGAAACTTGCTTTTAAACACTAAATAAAACCAAGCTTTAAAGTTTTTAAAATTAAAAATTTTAAACACAGATTTCAAGCAAGTCTGAAATCTCTATTTTTACTTCATCAAAAACTATAATTGCCAGGCAGTTTAGTAAGTTTTATCCTCATGCAAAAGATTAGGCTTAGTTACTTTTTTTATATCTTTATAGTTTAAACTATGTATAATTTTAGTTTCCTAATTTTTTTTACAATCCAATTAAGTCATAATTTTAAAAATTAAGTAAATTTAATCTCTTTAATTTTTCTTCTTTAAAAAATGCATAAATCATAATATTTTTACTTAAAATGTTGACAGAATAAATTGATTAAATAATCTTTTACTTAAAATCATTAATCAAAATATCAAATTACACTACCGAAAAAATGAATCAAATTACACCTAAAATAGAAAAAATTAAAAATTTTCTTCTCCAAACTCTAATTTAATATTTTATAATATAGTTTAAGTTTAATCAAATTTGTACTAAATTGATTAGTTATATACTTTAAAAATTATTTGATATTTTAAATCTATTTTAAATCCTCAAATATTTGAATTGCAAATAATAATTTGAAGTTAACAGATAACAAAAAGATTAAATTTACTTAATCTTAAAATTAGGGAAACTTAATGATTTGAAAGTTATTTTTGTCAAAAGTGAAAAAAAAAAAACTAAAATTACAATTAACCTAAAGGTTAACAATTATCGCTTTTTACAATAGTCAAGAAGTTTCATTGCAAAAGTTAATTTGCCCCGTGCTTTTTCATATTTTAGACGAAATGGTTAATTTACGTAGGTTTAGGAAAATCTTAAGATTATATGAACATACAAATGAATCTTTCCAAAAATAACGTAAACCACCCACCAGCTGAAACTTTAAAATTTTGCTCGGAATTGGTTCAGTTGTATGGACTGGAGGGGGAAAAACGCAAAAATTTGGTGTGTAAAATATAATCAAACATGATAAATCCCTGCCTCATGAATAGGCTCAAGCACAAATATATTAGTTAGCACTTAGAAGTAGTGAAAATTAGAAAAGTTGAAGCTAAATCCTTGACATCACTAGCAAAACTAAAATTCTAAACAGAAGTGCTCAAGTAGTCTACATTTTCTATTCTCCCGTAGAGGAAAATATTACAACAAATGACATATAAAATCATTAGGGCAATTACAATTGAGGGTTAATGGTATAAATTAGTATAACAAGGGGAAAAAAAAAACATTATATCCTATTCTCAATTAAGAGACCGGGCCATTGATAAGAAAATTCCAGCTGCAGATTCGTCTTAATTAAGAGTCTATCAACTTTTGTAGTTATCATCAAACACGACACTGAAGAACTAAAATGTGTTGCTGTTTCATCCAAGGTTAGCAACTGCTTCTGGCCCACCCAACCGTTCCAACTCTTCCTATTTAAGGCAATTATGTTCAGATACGTGAGTTGTGACATGTCAACATGTAAATTAAACTGCCAAAGAAGCAAATGCTTGTGAAGGCAGAATGGTAAGTGAAACCTACCTTGATAGAATTATTTTCAGATGTAAGCTTCTCACATTCTTCAGATAGTCTCTGAAGCTCTTCTTTTAGAGTTTGGTTCTCACTTCCCAGCGTCTCCACTCTCTTTTGTAACTCTTCACACTCAGCCTGGTTAGCACAAGAAATGAACAAAAGATCATTTTTCTTTATTCTATTTTTCTATTGTAAAATGGTAGTATGAATATACATAATCAAATAATATATAGCTTTTAGCCTCCAAACAAGGGCGCGTGAAGTAGTTATTGGAAAGTTACCTGCTTGCGTAGTCTTGACCTCCTAGCTGACTCTCTGTTAGACTGTTTCCTTTTCTGTCGTTTCAACTCACGTTCATCCTACCAACATCAAGAGAATCCATTATGTTTGGTTCAAAGGAGGGGAAAGGATGACAGAGAAGAAAACTAATTTACTACTATACTCTCAAGAGTACAAAAACAAAACCAAAAGGCAATGACAGAAATATGAATGTCCATATGTGGGAAGTGGGACCAAGATGTACAATATCGACAAAAGCATTGCTTTTCAAAAATATTAGTACAAGCATAAGGATATAAAATGACCATAAAAAGCAATACATGCTCGGAACAATTTCTAAGAAGAAACTGTTAGGACTCATACTTGTATCCATTGTTCACCAAGTGCAACTTCACGTCCCATTACGGTTGAAGCAACAGCTCCTGGGGCACCAGATTGATTATGTCTCAATTTTGCACCTTCAGCACCACCAGAAGATGCATTCCATAAGTCCATTCCAATATTAAGATTAGTTGCAGGCATTGAGACAACAGGTTTTCCAGGCACAGAAGATTGAGAAATCGCACCAGTAGAATTGTTCTGTGCATTGGCTCCTGGAAAAGTTCATGGAAATGCATATCATTTCAGCAACTAAGAACCAAAAAAACAAACCAAAACAATATCATGAATGGAGGTGATGCATACCATCAACAAGCATCTGGTCAAAGCTCCCCTTCTTGTTTGATTCCTACAAAGAAGTCATCAGACAAAAGCCAAAAACAGATTAGAAAAAGAACGACATGCTTTTAATTAAACCAATTCAATTTGGATTTCAGACTTTTGCTGTAAACATCAAAGTAACAAAGACAGCTGATTGTAAAAGCAAAATGGGAGGGGTGGGGGCTGATTTTGATTTCTGTAACGTTATTATTATTTACAAAAGAAAATGAGATCGGATTTAAAACTGGCAATCTGTTATGTACCTGTTGGTTAGTATTCTCATCGCTAGCATTTGATGAATCCTCTGAACCGCTTTCAGCACTATTTAACAAATATTTTAATAGAAATCCACATTAAAATAGCAATTTGAAGAGAAAGAAATAAAAAAGATCTCAAATTAACCAGTGTTTTGCCAAACCTTTGTGAGATGCCATCATTGCCAGAACCTGAGCCTGCCTTTCTACTCTCTCCTGCTTTGGAACCTGTATTTGCAGAAGTTCCCTTCAATTTTTTGGATGAGTTTCGATCTTTTCCTTCAGGTCCTTTCCCTTCAATCTCTGTACTTTGCTGGACAGCACTTGGAGTCTTCTACCATAATGATTGAAAGACCAAAAAGAACAAAAAGAAAGGAAAGACTATGAATTAAAATGTTCAACAATGATAAACATAGTGTATGTAGTTGCCTATAAGCAGGAAAAAAATCATCTTTCTCTGCTCATGCATAGATGTGTTACGGGAATTAGTGAGTGTGCAAGTGGTTTACCACTGCCATGCTAGGATGAGCATAGATACTCCCAGGAGGATATAAAGCAGGATATGGGACTGGAGTCCCATATGGCGGCATCAAAGGATGCTGAAAAAATTAACCAAACTTTAAATGAGAAGATTCCCTTCCATAGAGTATAATTGCATATATCCAAAATGATTTGCTACATTTACCTGGCTTCCCCATAAATAGGGATGAGGAGTTGGGGAAGCAACAGTTGAGGCAAAAAAGGGAGGTGGAGTGGCTCCAGGAGCATAGTAGGCCTAAATAAGAAGCAACATGCATTATTATGAACATAATTTATCTTCATGAGAGCATCAATAGATGTGAAGGTGATGATAAAACCAATACAACATATATTCCACTACCTGCATGGAGCTTGACCAATCAGGATATGCAGGTCCTGGTGGTATCTCCTGTTAATGTAAATAGAGAAGATAAGGAGACACAGGATAAAGGACAAGCAAAAGAAATAAGCGCAGAAGATAGTAGGGCAACAACCTGAGTTGACGAAGATGATTTAGAAGGTTTAGCTGTGCTCTCTTCCCTAGTTCCCATATGTATTACTTTAGAATCACTGCCCTCTCAGAGATACAAAACAAAAAAAATACCTATGATCAAGTGCTGATATCTGTGAAGGTCAAGAGATCAAGTTTAACAGATACCCATGTCAGAAATTATATGCTAATATCACATAGATTAAATAGCAGCAAATATCAAATCTAATGCCAAATTATAAAGTAATGGGTTTAAAATATTATTGTCAGTCTTTTGTTCACCAAAGAAATAGGTAATTAAGAATTTTACATCATCGAGTGTGACCAGAAAAAGTTCAGACGAAGCATAATTTCAGAATTTAACAACACAAAGTTCGATATTTTTCAGTGCAATAAATAGAGGAGTTTAATATACTGAGTCCTTAATACATAACTTTAACTAATGGACGAGAGATAATGGACTCAGGCATCAGGTTTATCCTTGCATGAAATACATTGGACAATTTCCATTCCAGTTCACATAAAACAAAGCATGAAAGAGACAAAAGGCAAGATAAACATGTTGAAAAAATTACATATACACACATCCAGAGATGTCCACAATTAATTACCTTAAATGACAGAAAGCAGCGGAGACACAACGAGAGTTTTCTTCTGTTATGGTGTTTATAAATCATAAGTGCTGTTTCAGTTATGTGAATCTAGAATTATAATATACTGCTATTTTATCAAGAGATAATCGTGTTTTTAGTCATTTGGTGAAGTGTGCTCTGATCTAATCTATGCAACTGTAATTCTTTGCTATAGCTTTCTTAGATGGCACATATGTAATGATTAAAATTAGTATTTTATTTATTAGACTATATTATCACCAATCTAGCTTGACATCATCCTGATATTCTTATTATTTTGGACCATTCTATTTTTCTTTTCAATGAAGAGGTGGAATGGAAGTACGGTTCCAGATAGTAAGTATATGAAATGTCCTTCTCAGCTATATAATTTATTTATTTATTTAAAAAGTCCGTCTTTTACCTTCTGTAAACTTAACCAAACAAAGCCAAAATTTCGATAAGATGATGCTATATTTTTATTTTATATGATAACTCCCTTCACCTTATAGATCAGCAAATCAAACCAAAACCTACTTTTAATCCAATATATCAAAGATAAAATCTTGGTGAAATCGGTGTTACACCAAGCCTGGTTGAAAACCGCAACAAGTATAAGAACTGACATAGAAACTACCAAGTCCCCTTCCAATTTCCTTGTTTTAGTTTTATAGACAATGCCACATAAACACACCAAAAACAAAAAAACTTTCCTTAGCAAGCAATAATTACAAACATAAAATAATTCAGATTCCGTCGAAATATTTTATCATCCACCAAAGTATATATTTTCACCCCCTTAGTTCTTATGGACTAAAGAATAAACCAATTAAAGAATAGAAACAAAACAAAACAAAGTTCCGAAGCAGAGGCAGAACAGAAAGAGCAAGAAATCACATTACAGAAAATTGGAATTCTCTGATAAGTCATACGGAGAACCAACCCCAAATAACAACCAACAATAAAAAAGAAAAGAGAGAACAAAGATAGCAAGAGAGCATTGTGTATTGGAAAAATCAAACTCAGTAAAAAGCCAAAGTCCTAAAAAAGTTTGAGATATACAAAAGAAAGAACGCTAATTAAGCAAAGCACAAAGCTCCAACATGGATCTTGCAGAAATTGATATTTAGTAATTTACTAAAAAAAAAAGAGAGAGAAAGGGCTAGAGAGAGAAAGAGAAATAGCCTGACCTGTTTTCATGGCGTTGAGAAAAGGGGTCGAAAAAGGATGAGGTGGAAGTCCAAGTGGGATGGGACAAGGTGGTTCTCAAGTCAATAATTCTAACTATGCTTTGGTTTGTTGTAGTTGTGTTATAGCTATCAAAACTCAAACCAAACCAAACCAAACGTTTATCGTTTCGCGTTTAAGGTCTCTAAGCTTCTACTAAGGTAGAATGGTAACAGTAAATGTTTGTTAATTTCCACAACCCTCGTGGATGTTGTGTGGGAACGTGAGACTTGGAAGTTTAGTTGAAGGGTTGGAACCAAACAAAACATAAGGAGGAATTAGCAAAGCAGGGAAAGAGGGAGTGTGAGTTGGATTGGGTTTAGGGCTTCGGGGCTGACACGTGCGAAGAAAAGGGTTACAGCTGTGGGCTGTCCATGTCTCACTGGATTAGGTTTGAGACATAGCAAGTTACACGATGACTCATCTGACAACTATGTGCCTTTCTGGATAACCTTTTTTATTTTTTATTTTATTCAATTGCGTATTACGTTTTATTATTCATTATATATTATTTTCAATAAATCCTTTAATTTAAATTGCATAATCATTAATGTGAATATTCGTTTATATTTTTTAATTACTTTCCTTTTCAATATATAAGCAATTTTATAATTTAGCGAAGTTTCTGTGAAGATTTTAATGGATGAAGATTGAGATTTTGTTGAAGTTGCTAAAGGATAATTTTTTAAGTATATTTTCACGTCGATATATATTGTAAAATATTTGTATAGAAAACATAGATTTTTTTCTTTTTTTTTTTTCTCATAACTTAAATTTAGTAAATCTCATTATTTCTAAATATGACTTTTTTTTTAAAACGAAAATAATGAAAAGTACGAGAGAAATTTTTACAAAAGTTAAAGGGACTTTATTGGTTAATTTTAAATTCAAAAGTTTTTGCATCAAAAATATTTTTACTCTTTTTTGAAAAGCACAATAATGTTAGCAAAATTCGCAATTTATTTGTTTTTACTCATTGTTAAATTTTAATGTGATTGGTAATTGGATTCTTAAATTGGAGTTCCTTAACTTTTGTTTGTTGTTGGACTTTTAGCATTTTGACTAGTGAAAAAAAAATACAAAAACGTACAATTTTAAATCTATATAATAAATTATTTTTAAAAATTTTATTTTTTGAAAATTTTAAAATTACACGATAAAATAAAATAAAATAAAAATATTATTATGATTAAAGTGTTTATGTTAATTTTTTGCCTTAAGAGAGCTGCAGTATTAATTATTAACATGTTAAAACTCTTATATAAATACTTTTAATTTAATTTAAATATAATTGATAAATACTTTATATGCAAATATATTATTATTTAAATAATAAAAGTAAATATATCTTACATAAATATAATTTTTACATGATGTAACGTTATTATATAAATCAGATGGACAAAGTTTGATGCGAGTTAGAAAAAAATACATAATATATTAACATTTAATTTATAAGAATAAATCATAAACATAAAAGAAATTATATATTAATATATTATTTAAATTATAAAAATAAAATTTATATCATATGAAAAAAGTTACAAAATTAAGTTATGTAAAAAAATTCTTTACATAAAATTGTAGGATCAATTATTAAAACATGTATTTTTGGTATATATATTATATATTTCCGCAACATCTGATGGACTGTAGATACAAGTACTGTATACATTTCAATGTTAAATTTCATAACTATTTATTTTAATGATAATTTTAAAATTATGGGTATAGCCATCATATACCTAAAATTACTTTAATGCATCACTGTAAAATTAATTAATATATTTTCGTTGGTTTGCTACTTTTACTTATAAAATTTAAGTATATAGGATATAGGAACATATAGATGGATATAAATGTTTAAAATTAAATACTATTTTTAAATTATTTTTCTAAATATTACTAATTGGCTCTTTTATATTAAATTTTTTCATTAATATTAAGAATATTTTTAATACTCATTAAAAAGTTATAAATGATAATAAATCCGGTATGAACTAATTTTTCCATGACACTGCAAAATAAAATTAACGATATACAATTTTGTTGAAATTATCATTAATAATTTATATCGATAAACTTTACAAAAAAATATTAATATCACGAATTTGCCTATAACTTACCTTCAAACTTAATATGCTATGAACTAAAATATTCTATATACCTTTTACAAATAATCATGCAAATTCATAAGTGAATGAATATATTTAATTATAATATAATAAATGCAACAATCGATTTAATGTGGTTTATCTATATTAAAAAAAAACAGTGGGTAAAAGTAGGTAACTTTACGATTATTTTTCTTATACAGTAGTCGTAGGAAAGTCAATATTAAATTTACATTTAATTACAAAAAGTTAATATTTAGTAATGAATTTTTGTCTCTTACTGTTCGTATGTCGGCAAAATTAGCGGATAAACCAGCTACAAGTTTAAAACTTAGCTGAGATGTTTGCCGGAACTTAAAAGATAAATTGCTAGCTAGTGGATTAAATTAAGTTTTATAAAATTGAGTATTAAGCTAGCGGACAAAATCTAAAGTAACAAATAAATGTATATAATTAAGTAGATGCAAATTTAAAATTTAATAATTATGTATTTTTGAAATTTATAATTTCTATATTTTAATTTATTTAAAAATATTTATCATCTTTAAATTAGGAGAATATATTTTTAATTTTACTATCATTTATGAATATTTTATTAAAAAAATTAACAAAACTTTGTTAAATATGAATATCTTAATTTTCATTTGCATTTTTTTTTATAAAAAAAACAGAGAATATTCTTTTTATATCAAATGAGAATTTCTTTCACAAGCAAAAAAGGAAGATTTTCTCACCTATATTCTTGTTTAAGCGAGAAATATGTCACTCGAGCGAAATGGGTAATTTTATGTTGTGTTTTTATTCAAACAAAAATATCACTAGAAAAATAATAATTTTTGTCTGCTTTTCTCGCTCAAGCGAGAATCTTCAAGAAAAATGAGTATTTAAGTAATTTTGGCCTTCTAAAAACACATATCCCAAATTAAAAAATCATTCTCACCTCTTTCTTTGTCTCTCTTCTTTCCTTCTCAAAGAAAACCTTATCGATCCATGAATCTTTCTTAGATCTGAACTCAAATGTCTATTCTACTTGAATCAAAGTAAGTTCTAGAGTTTAACTCTTCTATCTTACTCTTATTTCTCTATTTTATCTTTTTATAATAGTACTTTACTCTATGATGTTAGGAAGAACTTTTCTTTTTGGTGGTATCTTTGGTCAAATCGTAAGCTTTTTTCTAAGATCTTACGAAAAACTTAGTCTCAGAGACCTATTTTTAGATAAGGAGAGTTGATCCTAAACTCTAAATTCTATTTTTATATTGAAAATCACACAATCCTCATTTTGAATAGTAGATCTGAAGTATTTTCTTGAGAAAGTATAATGTTAAAAACAAATTTTTGACATAAAAACCTATAGTTTGATTTAAGAATAACCTGAAATAGAATTTTATAATAATAGTTATAAATGAACAATATTTTAAGAAGTTTTCATAAACAAGTTAGTCATTATATTTATATATATGTACTGCTGTGAATTATTATTTTTAAATAATATATATGTTTGCTGATGAAAAAGTAGAAAATATTAAACTTTAGGATAGAAGACTTTATTAAGACCAAGAGAGTACAATCTCCGGTGATATACTTTTGAATTGTGCAATTGGTCTGAGTTTGAAGGTATTTGACGTTCGGGCACTTTGTATGGAATTTTATGATGATATGTTTCTTTATTCCACTAATATGTGCTTGGATGAGATCTTTGACAGTCATGAAAAGTTGATGATGTATGATTGATTGATTTAGAATGATTAAAATATTTTCCTTCAGTATATGTGATGTGGACTAAGTTCCGGTATGCTGTAATTTAGACATGATTCAATGAACTGAATGTGGAGAAAGAGATAAAGGAAACTTGATTAATAATAAAAGTGATTGATGAAATTTTATATGAATACCTCAGAAAATATGAGAAAAAGAAAAGGAATAACTAAAATATGTGTCATAAAAATACTTATTAATGTGATTATGATATATGTGTTGTAATACATCAATGGATAAGATTATAACACATATGTTGTGACATATTGATTAGTGTAGTTACAACACATGTATTAAGAGAATATTGATTGGTGTAAATAGTATGATTTTAGTGTACCACTATTAAGTTTCTGTATGGATAGTTCAGAGTTATATTAGAAGTATAAAGTCTGGAGGCGATTTGGAAAATCTAGGAAAATAAGAGTGATGAATGTTAATTGTAACACCTTAATTTAATTCTCAAATATTTTCTAAATAAATTAATTTCGTAATAAATAGGAATAATAATAATTTCATTCAAATGGTTTCCAGTGCATAGTTTTAATAAAACATTTCAAAATAATGGAAGGCTACAAGTTTGCATAAAAATAAATGCTACATGACTAATTTAATTACTTCACAATTTTCAAAAATGATTTCCTAAGTCTTATAACAGTTTCATCTCTCTCATTCACAGAGTTTGGTACTGATCGTCTTGGACCCCTGAAAAATCAATGTAAGCGTGAGTACTCTACACTATCATACACAAGTATAAAGACTCACCTTGCACGTTTCACACATTTACTAACATAATTCAAATTGTGCATTAAACAAACACAAAGTACTACTTTTCAACATTTCACTCCAATTTACATACAGGTGCGTTTACTGCACCATCAAACAATCTACACAACACCCACGTGCGCTCACTACACGTTAGCCACACTCATTATGGCATTGTGCTCACAGTTTTTTGATGCTCTCAACCTTAGAGACTTACTCAGTTTCACACCATGGATGGTAGCCGGTTAGCCTCGCCTCATGGATACGTGTGCAGTCCCTTAGCAAAGATGTTAGTCAGAAGCTAAATCAGGAGGAAAGTGTGCACCAACGCTTATTGTTGGTGTCACCACCACTCCTTCTTCCCCAAGGTATTTCTACAATTCTCATCTTTCACACCTCCATTGTATTACTGTAACCATTCATAGTTTTCAACATTTTTAAACACAACAACAATCATACTCAACATGCCAT